AGATATATATATATATATATATATATATATATATATATATAAAGATATTAAATAACATCATTACTTGTGGATACTCTCATTGTCAAAATCCACACGTATCCAGACATATTTGTGGAGTTCAGCTCTTTGTCATGTAAGGGAAACAGGTCAATAATTTAGCTCAAAGGGAAAAATTTAAGATTTTAAAGGGGACTCCACCATTAATATGTAAGGGAATTAGGACAGAATCACTGTTTTACAGCTGATCACTGAGACGGCCAGCGAGTCAGTGAACGAGCCGTATGACATCAATTCTGCAATGGATATTTATATCCAAAATATAGTGAAAACACTATTAATTAGCACATGTAACAAGATCGCCAGATTAAGACATTAACTTGTTAGCACAAAACCCAAGATACTTCTCTTTTCAATATAAATAAGGCTTTATTGGATAAATAACACATGAACACACGCATTCACACAAGTTTTCAGAAAGAGAGAGAGTGAGGAAATAGTTTAAGAGAATGAAAATGTGAAATCCCAAGTTTACAGCAATATATCCTACAGTCAGTTCGAAAGTTTTAAGTCAGCAATTGTTTAGTCTCCCACTACTATAACCCTCACCCCCAACAAACCCCACCTACATCCTGCAAGTAATAGATCTGTGCACCTTAACTGTGGGTGTGCAAAAGGGGCATGACAACAATTCTATCTTTGTAAGGAAGGAGCAAACACTTGTGACAGACCTGTGATGCTTTGGCAACCTTGAATGCTCCAGTAGGTTGAGAGACAATATTCAGTATACTCTGAGAAAATCTGAGGTCATTGGATAGCTGTAGAAATTTTCCATCTGTGTGAAAACTTTAAACACCACATATATTACATCCACAGACTGAATTATGTTATGGATGACACAAATGTCTTTGTCTATAGCAACATTATCCCCTGTGGAAACTTTCATTGACCACTGTTCAGTCTGCAGCTGCCTGTACTGTGCTGTAGCTTGAAGGCCGTCAGGAACAGGTCCAACATAATGTTGCATTCTTAAAGCTTTAAAGGGTGACTCAACATTACTGATTTCTTCAACCTCTGATAGCCTTCTTATTATCTGCGCAAGAGGAAATTCTGGCTTTCTCACAAACTACTTCAGTGTATGGAGGTAATTTTCATAAGGTAAAGCTGAGATGGAGTCTAAAGAACCATGCAGCTGGGCATCAGCTGACAGGTGGACCAGGGAATGCACATTATACACTAATGCATCTTTTCCATAAAGCTCCCCGACATTACTTACAAATGTTGTGAGCAGCCTGTTAGCATAGCTGTTAAACAAAGAATACTGCTGTGGACTGACAAGGATGCTAATACCAGTATACAATAACAAAGTTATTATATAAAGTGCTATCTAAATATGGTGCCAGAGCAACAGAGCCAGTATACAACAGAAACTTAGTTCTGTGGCTTTCCAGCGGTCTAGCTCTCTGAGAGATCTGGGCTTCCTTGCAAACTCAACTGGTTTGTATGCATGCATGTGAATCAAACTTTGAGAAATCTTATCAACAAAACTGGAGGACAAGCTAAATTTCAAAGGACCCCTTAGCCAGGCATTTAACAATCTACGTGTGACACCTAAACATGCAAGGTGCATGTACTCTAAAGGGAATCTAGTCACCATCCCCACAGCTACAACAGAAAAACCATGTGGTCCATCATGATGATGCTCCTCATCAACTCTGTCTGAAAATGATGAATCAGTCCGTAACTCAAAATCATTTCTGGGGTATGTCATTCTGTTATTAAAATAGACACCTGGCTGGCAACACTTATCACATCCGTGATATCCATTGTGACCCTTTGTGTTTTTTTACAAAAGCTCTAGCAGGGTATCACATACAACAGAATCTAGTACAATTAACAATTTTTTTCCTCTAAAATTGAATCCATCCTGCATCTGCTTTAATTCATGGGTAAAGTCCCTCAAAAATTCATCAGGGGCTGATGGTTTTTTTTGTACCACTGAAAAGCCCAATGACAACAGGTTCTTTCATTGGGACACTCAACAAAAGTCCTAAAATGGGCCATAACTGCAAACTTGAACTCTTAAACAATGGCAAGCCATCAATATTTATCTGTAATCTCAAAGTAAATCCATCTGCAACATTTTCAATGAGCTGGGTTAGGATGTTATGCAAAGCTGTCAGGACACCTCTGTAATAATACAAACCACCACATTTTTGCTGGATTTTATAGTCAGTTTTTGTTTTAAGGATGCTTCGAGCATCCTTGGGCAGTTCTGGGTGGTTCAATCTCAACAAACTAAGGAGGGCTGTGAGGGCTACTAAAGAAACACCAAACTGTACAGCCCAATTGGCCAAACTTTCAACCAGGCTGACTGGCTCATCTGCCTGCTCAGATTCTGATTCAGAGTCGGGCTTTCAGTCACTTCATCATACACACCATCATCAGTGCACTCAGGAAAAGACTTGTCTAAATTGTCATCTATCTGAGGGAGTCTTGAGTCATTGCTGCATTGTGTGTCATTGATAATGGAATATACATCTTTGTGAGTCGGTTCTGGTCCTAACAGACAGTCGTTTTTCGAGGGAAATGCGAGCCCTCCTTCTGACTCCAGAGCTTGTTAAAGGTGGCTCCCTCCTTTTCATCTCCTCTACAAAAAGAGTAATTGTGAAAAAAAGTGTTATTTGGTGATATTTTGTTCACAAACAGCAAAATAATTCAACTGTAACTGTCTCTAAAAAGTACAATATAACGTGGAGGCAAACAACACTATGTGCCCTGTAAAATAAAAGCCTAGCTAAAGTTGCACACACAACTAAGGTGCCAAAAAATATAAGAAAGCCATGCAATGTTCTTTCACTTTTAAGCAAGCCCTCAAGTTTTAATTGATGCTATATTGTAATACAATGCGTGAAAGAACCAGAGAAGCACTACGACTGATAGCTGAACTTACTGCAGTTTACAGACAGACAAAATGTATACTAAATACGTTAATCCTGATTCAAAGGTATTTAAATAAGAGGGAGTGATCAGAGGGAAATATTATATTAACATTATTTATACAAAAATTATATGTAAAGTGTTTTAAAATGCAATTTATCCTCGTGTTTACAAAAAAGACAGTCATTACTCCAGTCTTCAGTGTCACATCATCTTTCAGAAACCGTTCCAATTGCTTCTAAATAAATATTTCTGATTATTATCATTACTGAAAACAGCTTTTACTGCTTAACAATTTTGTGGAAACAAAGCTACTACTCAAATATTTTTGGCATTTTTTAGAAGAGAGAGAGCGAGAGAGAAATTACATTTTTTTAAGGATGCATTATATGTATCAAAAATGACAGTGAAGACTTCATAAAGTAAAAAAAAAGGTTTCTAAACGCTCTAATAAATGTAATTAATACATTTAATAAATTGTAGCGTCTGCGTAGGATCATGCTGGAGTG